TTTTCCAAAAATAATTCCTTACAAAAACTAACGTTTAGTAAATATTTACTATTTTTTTTATTTAACAGTAGTTTAAAACTTCTTAAATTTCCACAATTATAAAATGTTTTACGTCAATATGATATATTACAAGGCAAAATACGAAATTCAAGCAAAATCGGTCGAATAGTTCCTGAGAAATGAAATTTTAAACATATAACTTCTTTAAAATTTAACGTATCAGGAACTATTTTTACGCACTGTACAAACATGAGTTAACACAGCTAACAACTTAAATATGCTCGTTTCAGTTTTGAAAAATAGTAAGAGAAGATGACAGATAATGTTTTATTTACAATCAGTTTTTAACAAAAAGTTTTTTTTTGACTAGATAGCATTCACTAAATCACATGGTAAATAATATTTCTCTTTAAAATAAAAATTGTGCTCAAAATATGTACATACAATATAATGCGAAACTTAAATATTTTAAACAAAGTAAATACCATTTTATTTACAAAACTAAATAATAATGACTTTTATAAAAAAAAAAGTCTTCTTCTTATATGCCAAAAATATAATAAGTAAATGATAAAGCAGGAAAATAAATGCACATTTTATTTCTTCTAAAATATTTAAAATATAAAACTAATTCTCATTTTATTGAAATGAAAATTTTTTTTTTGGATTCATCTTTAGATTTAAATGAAAATTATTTTAACGTTTTATTTTAGACCCCTTCCAGTGTTTTTAGTTTCATAAAAAAGTAATAACCTCCTTTTCTGGTTCGCATATTACTTTGAAACCAAATTAATTTTTTATTTAACTAAATTTAATATCGAAATTTATTATAAATATTTATCTTTTTTAGGAAATACCACAAAAAAGGGCAATTCAAAAGGAGTTAATTTGTTCAAAAAAAGAAAAAAAAATTATTTTGTGCTGATGCATTATTTATTATTAATTTTCGTTAACTTATGAAAGAGAAAAAATTCTAATATCAAGCAATACATGTTAAAGAAATTACTAGTCATATGTGGGGTTTTGTACAAGAACCACCCGGAACATATATTTTTAGAAGCCTTGTCAAAGACGAAAAGAGTGTACTCAATGGGGTTNTCTGTCAATTAATACTAATAATATATTGGTTTTTTTGTTAGTTAAAAATAGTTATATAAAAAATGTTACAATTGACCCCACTCTCCCCTACTCAATGGGGTTAATAAATCCTTAATCCTTATTTTAGCTACTAAAAACAAAAAAATAATAATAAAAGCTCTCGAAGTATGACAAATCACACTGAAGTGAAGCAAGGGTACAAAACATTAAATTCTGCTTCATTGCAAGTTGAAACTTGTAGGTTTTTCTAATCAACTCAACTCCTGCAAAGGTTATAGTGTTTTATACACCAGCTTTTCTGAATTGTGATTTGTCATATTTCGATAGTGTTTTGTTCTTCACTTAAATGTAAATTAACGATTATTGATCTTGTATTTTTTTTTGTCTTCCCTTTTAATATAGATACTAAAAATTTATATTGAATATGGAATTTACGAATCACTTTGTGTTATGGAACACGCTACGCATGCATCAACTCAAAAGTGAAAAACATTAACAGGTAATACAAAAATTTAATACAAATAACATAATAAACTTTAAAAATTAACATAGAAATAATTTAACATAGAAATAATTTAACGTAGAAATAATTTAACATAGAAATAATTTAACATAGAAATAATTTAACATAGAAATACATTTTCACATTTCTAAATCAAAATTTATAACTCAATGGTTTTACATATTTCTACTCACAAGTATAATGTTTCTGCAAAAATTCATTGTACTCTAACGCCACAGTCAATATTTTTTCACATATAATAATTAAGAACAACGATTCTGATATGCATTTAAAATGATATTATGCAGGTTTCTTTCCGACATTAGAACAAAAAGTGCAAAATTCAAAAAATGTTGAAATAAAATATCACAGATATGTTTTCTAATTGTTATTTATCAGAAAAAATTTCATTGAATAAAGAGTAGAAATTATCATTTTATACATACGATGTTAACTTCCAGAATGTTAACTTCCGATGTTAACTTCCTTAACCATTAACTTCCCAAAATGATCTAAAAACACCTAAAAATATATGAATTTTGTAAACATTTAATGTGTTTAGAAGTTACCTCACTTTGTTGTAGTACACTTACAGAACACCCTGGAACACTTACGGAACACATAAGTTTCAGAAACAAATTTTTAAGATTCAGAAACTTTTTTAAATTCTGACGTTTTTAATGACTTCAACGTTCTTAAAACTTGTTTCTTAGAAAATTATTTGTTTTAGGGGGTAGTTGAGATGAATATTTGATAAATTTCTTGAAGACTTTTGTTTTTAAATCATCTAGCAACAACATGGAAGAACTACTGAACTGTATGGTAATGACATTTCTGGTAAAAGAATACCATGATTCAGTTATTAAAAAATCAAAATATACGGTATTTATGTAATTGATTTTGTAATTTTCCCATTCATAAGGTAACGGTTTACTGAAATTTCTGGTTTTTAAAATTTTGGTTTTTATTACTACATCTTTAGTAGAAAATACAAAACTGAAAACTGAATTAAAGACATTAATGGTTTTTATGCCATTTTTAAGCTACCATGATAATATTAGAATCATTTTTTGAAGCAAAAATGATATGGAAGTAAAGTGTTATTTACAATCAATGGCTTTATGTATTGTTTCGCAATGAAAACGCTTACTTTGCATGAAATGAAATGAAAAAATATTATAATTTCTACTTATATTTATCGGTTTTCAGTAAAAAAAATGCCATTCATTAAAATGAAAGACTCGTGTTTCATTTTAATCCCCTTATTTGATCCCCTTATTTGATTATAAAAATGATAGTGAGACACAACTTATTTATAAACTTTCTTTCACCTATTTATTGGAATGAATTTGCTTAATAATAAACGCAAGGAAGATTATTCATCCCCATATTAGCCCAGAATTTAAGAAATCGGGGCTTTATACTTATAAGCCATTTAAAAAACAATCAGAGAAGCATTTTTTGAAGGAAAACGTGATTTGCACATAGGTAATGAGATGCTTCTGTGTATCCTACTGCCATCTAGTAGATATTCCAGAAACCTGTAAAATACTTATTTAAAAACAACACTAAGAAACAGGTTGATGTAAATACGTCTCGTATAGAAAAAAAATTTTGTTTGTATTATCTCAAGCCATTCAATTATAGATATTTTTCGACATAAATTACCCATAATGATATGAAAAAGTTGAAAAAATACGACTTTCCTTTTTTGTATACGAGGCTATTTTAGATGTCTTATTTTTCGAAGTTTTATAAGATTTGTCATTAAAAAAGTTTAGCAATTTCACCTTAATTATTTTTTTTAATAAAATGGTACAAACAAATTATTGAAAACTAACCTCAATCACTACTAACCTTAAACAATTTTTACGAATATCAAAGGGGATAAAAATGTATAATGTAAAAGTTTATATTTAGTAAAAAAATGAAGGGTTTATTAATCAGATCAAATTTTAGAAAATTTTGAAGAAAAGAGTTCTTATACCTTTTATGTTAACGATTTTGTTTCATAAAAAGGGAAATAAATTTATGCAAACTGCTTACTAAATGTTTCAAGAAATTTTATCAGACTTTTAAATTACCAGTCCCAGAAAATTTCGGAAATGTGCCGTTTTTATAAAATGGTAAGTTAAATTTTTAATAAATAAAAAGTCTATATTATAACCCTACTTTTTATGCAGTTTAGTTTCTTAGTTTAGTTAATTTTTTAAGTCTTAATTTTAACAAAATTTTGATCTTGTAATTACACAAAAACTATTGTGCTTAAATTAAACATTTACTCGTGCAATATAAAATTTAAAGAGTTATATTAATTTAGATGTATTCAATAAGAAACAGCTCGAAATGATCAGTTTTTTTTCCAGGAATATGAATTTAAAAATATTAGAAAATGCGCGATAAGACATAGATACAGTTATGTTAACTTAAAACGTCAAATGTCCACTATTTTGCAATTATTAATTAATAATGATATACATCAAACTAAAATTTTAAGAAACATTTTTACATTTTTTATGCATTGTGTCTCTCATAAGTGGCTGCTGATTTTAAAAAATAAATAAAGAAACTTTTAAGGAGTAGGAAAGGTACAGTTCTTGTCTGCTTAGGAAACCAGTTATTTATTCTCAGCAACAGGTAAAATTAGTAGCTAAGTTTATCAACAGGTGGAGCTGATTGTTGGAAATATTATGAAGCAAAGTTTTCTGCTGTATATAACTACTGACTATCCCTACTGAAATATTTGTAAGATTTTCTCTTATATGTCTTAGGACTTTTTCATGTTGTGGTAACAAACGGAGGTCATTTTGAACAATTGTTTTTCAATAATTTTTCATACTTAGAGGCGTCATCTATAGATAAAATTTGAAACTAATTTGGTAACTTGACGCAGGTAAATGAAGGGTTTCGTAAGAAAATGCACCTATTTATCTAGATAACATTCCGTTTTTTAAGGGATTTTTCAGTCTATCATTTTTCAAACACCTAGTATTTAATACTATTTTAGCGTTATTAATTAAGTGAATTTTTACTATAATTCAGCGTTGACAAACTAAAAAGTAGTAACACTATTACATTAATAACGTCGCAATATTTCATAAGTTGTTTTTACCATGTTTTATTTTCTTCTTCGTTTCAAACTATCACTCAATAACGTAAATGTATTATTCAAATTAGAAATGTTAAATAATGGACATTTTGACATTTTAGTTATTAGATAAAACTATTTAAGGGCATTTTTTAAAAACTTTCTTCGTAAAGCTTCAAATAAATATTTTTAAAAATTAATTACATTCTTCAGTTGTATTGGATGCATATTCCATTTTTGAGTTGATATAAAAGCCAAATAGCTTTTGCAAGAAAGCTATATCTTATTTTAAAATGACTTAAGTTATACATGCTTTTGAGATGAAGTCAAAGACTCATCAACAACAACTTTAATGGAAATCATTCATTTAACAATATTGTTTTTAAAACAAAATTTAGTAACATTTACGTGAAGAATCTGGATATTTTTCCTTCAATTCAAACTTGAACTGTCTAAATAATTGACGGTTTCTTTCTTGATCCACTTCTTTATCCTTATGAAAAGATGAAGGTGTTTTAAGACCTTTATGCACGATGAAAGCATTGTTGAGAACAGAAAATTTGTAGCCAGAAACATGAAGCTCACATACCTGAAAAGAAATAAAAAAAATATTTTTATAATCAAATTACTTAATTAATTTTTTTATAACTATTATAAAAAAAATAAAGATGAATTGAATTTGCGCGAAATATAAATAAAGTTAAAAAAAAAAACCTGAAAAAATTCTACCAAACAAACTATAGTTTCGGTACTGTTATAAATTATATAAATTTTTAATTATTTTTATATAAAGTGTCGTTTTTTTAAATCGCAAAATGATTGGCGAAAAGAATCTGTGGTGATTTCATCAATCACATATGAAATGTTCCTTCGCGACTTTACCAATCGCATTTACGTGTTCAGGTGTGATTATAACAATCATACTCAATCGTTATTTCAATAATCGCATTGGTATAGTTTAGCACGTGATTTTTCATAAATATTAACTTCATATTTACATAAATAGAAAAAACTTCAAAAATGTGGAATTTAGGAGTGGAAAATGCATAATAAATATTGTAAAAGATAATATTAATTATTAATTAATAGTTCACAGTGGAAATAAACGAAATAAGCTAGTAATCTCTCTCTCTGTATATATNTATATATATATATATATATAATTTTTAACACATACATTAATAAATTTTAAAAAAAATGTATTTTTATCAAAACAGAGCACTATAATTACACAGAAACTTACTGTATTAATTAGAATCGATCCTATGGCTCTAAAATTGCATTTAACTTTTATATATATTTTTTAAATTGGCTTAAAAAAATCCGTTTTACTAGTGTTTAGAGTTATCTTTTTTCATAGTAAACAACCTAATAGCCTATATTAGAGTTACACAATTATTAATTTATTGTTTATTTTTTTAACTTTCTCCTAAAAATCAATTAAGTAAGTAAAAAATAAAAAAGAAAATTTTTCGACGAAAATAAAAGGAATAAAAATATTTATTTTACACACTGAGTATTTGGTTTACAAACAAACAAAAATGTTTAAACAACGTTTTAAGAAGCTGCAAAGAGCTTTTATGATGGAGCGTTAATGCGTTAAGTTCCATTAGCAAAGTTCGGTTGCCCTTCAATTATTCTAATAGGACCCATTCGTTTTTAATGGGCTTATGGGAGTTAGAAAAAGAATTGAAAGCTTTTTAGTATGTGGGACTCAAGATGTTAAAAGTATTGTGGCATTGTCACATGTGGTGTCATATTAAGCACATTATGGTTGCACAGTGCTTACTTTTAAGAGCTTTTAAAGTGCAATGAAGCATTTTTATGCACAGGAAAATTTTTTTAAGGCTTTATAGATTTTATATGAAGCTTTTTTTAATGTAAATAAACCAAAAATATGCTTTAATTGATAATACTATTGAATAAAAAAATAGTAAGATAAATTTCGAAAATGGAACACCACATTCATCTTTTAATTTTTATTAAAGTTGGAAAAAGAAATAAAGCCTTTTAGTTTGACGAGACGTTAAAAATATTGTTGGATTCTGATATGTGATGTCATATTAAGCACATTACAGTTGCTTTACTCGTTGTTTTTTTGTAAGAGCACTTTCAAATACATGAAATTTGTAGAAGTTTATAGTTTTTATTTAAAGCAATTTTAGTTGCAAACATAAAATAATTAATTATAATAACATAAAATAATTAATTATAATAACATAAAATAATTAATTATAATAACATGAAATAATTAATTATAACAACATAAAATAATTATAATAACATAAAATTATTAATTATAATAACATAAAATAATTTAATTATAATTACATAAAATAATTAATTATAATTACATAAAATAATTAATTATAATAACATACAATAATTAACATAGCAAACATAAAATAATCAATTATTAATTATAAAATAATTACTAACATAAAATAAATTTTAATTTAATAGTACTAGAGCCTAAATAAAAATACTGAATAGCATTAGAGGTGTTTTTAATAAATTCAAAAAAAATCCCATTTTATTGCCTTTATGAGACTTAGAAAAAGAAATGAAGAAATTATTTTTTCGATTTGAGGCACTCAATACATGAAAAGTATTGTAGACTGGTCAAATCTGGTGTCATATTGAGCATATTATGATTGCCTTCTTGGCTTTTTAAGTGCAATGAAGCATTTTTATGTGCAGAAAAAAAGGCATGGCTCTATAGATATTATTTGAAATATTTTTTGTAAATAAATCAAAAATATGCTTAAATTGATAATATTAGAAAATAATTAAAATATTAAGAGTAGGTTTTGAAAATAAAATTTAAAAAAGGAACACTATAATAATTTTTTACGCGTGTATGGAAGTTGGAATAAGAAATAAAACCGGAAGATTAATGATAAAGTTTATTTTTTAATAAATTAAGAAAAAACTATCCCAATTCTTTTAATTCGTTTATGAAAGTTTGAGAAAGAAAAGAATGTTTTTAAGTTTGAGACACTCAAGACGTAAATTTTTATGTGCAGGAAAAAATGTAAGGCCTTATATTGATTTCATTTGAAGTAATTTTTGCTGTAAATAAACCAAAAATATGCTTAAATTGATAATAAATAAAAATATTGAGATTAATTTTTGAAAATAAGATTTAAAAAAAGGAACACCATTTTCATTTTTTAAGTGTTTATGGAAGTTGAAAAAAAGAAATAAAACCAAGAGGTTAAAATATTATAAGATTCTCCCATATGGTGTCATATTAAGCACACATGGTGTCTCCCATATAGTGTCATACTACGATTGCTTTACCGGGAACTTTCTTTTCTGAGATAACTTTGATTTGAAATACAGTAAAGTTTGTAAGGGTTTATAGATTTTATTAAGTAATTTTAGTTGTAAGCCTAAAAAACATTTTTAAATTAATAGTATTTGAACATAAATAAAAATACTGAATAATGTTAAAGTTTTTTTTTAAATAAATTAAAAAAAACTGTCCCAATTCTTTAAAGGCGTTTATGAAAGTTTGAAAAGGAAATGAAGGTTTTTAAGTCTGAGGCATTCAAGACGTGAAATGAAGCATTTTCTGAGCAGGAAAATTTTTAATTTTTGTTGTAAATATACCAAAATTATTTGTAAACTGATAACATTAGAGAATAAATAAGAATACCAAAATGTTTTTTTACATGTTTTTTTTTTAAAAATGGAACCTTTTTTTATGTGTTTAAGGAAATTAGAAAAAGACTTGTAAGACTTTTCAAGACTTTTTAGCTTGAAAAATGTTAAAAATATTACGGGAAACTCCTCTCTAGTGTCATTTTTAACACATAAGGGTTGCTTTTACTCGTAGATTTCTTTTGTGGGTTTGTAAAGAAATTTAAAGGTTTGTGTAACATTTAATAACAATAGAGCATTTATTACAGTTTTTTTGACGGCATTCACCCTAATATAGGGTACTAATTGCCAACCAATGTATAAAAAAATAAACGGATCAACGTAAATAATTTTTGATCTAATGATAAGATCTTCACGTTCTAGGACTCAATCTTAATGGTTCAAGGGGGTGACCTCAAACATGCTAATTAATTAGTGCAGACGATATTTTAAATTACGAAATCAGACACAAGAAACTTATTTTGTCTGATTAAACATAACTTTTTTCCGACGAATTCGGATTTCTGACCATCAAAATATATGGAATAGCCGCCACCTGGGAAATATGGTTCCAATAGTTTGGTCAGAAGTGCTGTCCGAAATTTGGGCCCTTTAATGTTAATTTTACTTATTCCCTGTTTAACCGTATCTCGAGAGCTTTTTAAACGGACTGAAAAATTTTTGCACACAACTATAAAATTCATTTATCCTAAAATAAATCCTTGCAAAATATAACTTTTAGCGAATATTTATTATTTTTTATTAGTTTATTTAATAAAAGTCAAAACAGTTTTGAATTGCAAGGAATACAATTTTTACATCATTTTAAAGAATGTAACTTCAAACAGAAAAATGCGAATTTTGAGCGAAATCGGTCGAATAGTTCAAGAGAAATCGAATTTTGTTTTAAAGAAAAAAGACTTTTTCCAAATTCGCTTTCTCAGGAACTATTCGACCGATTTCGTTTAAATTTTGTATTTTGTCATATAAAATTGCATTCCTTAAAAAGGAGTAAAACATTTTATGCCTTACAATCCATTTTTTTCTACAATTATTAAATAAAAAAATAATAGATATTTACTAATAGTTATATTTTGCTTAAATTATATTTGGATAAACGTCTATAAGTGTGAAAAAAACTGTTTCAATTCGCTTGAAAAGTCCTCGTGATATGTTAAAATACGCAAAAAACGAAATTAATATTAAGAGGTCCAAACTTTGATACGCTCTTCTGACTAAACTATTGTGACCATATTTCCTAGAGGATGGCTACCCCCTATACTTTGGAGAATATTAACTGGAATCCATCGATAAAAAGGTATGTTTATTCAAAAAAAGTACGGTTTATGTTTGATTTCGTAACCTAAAATATTGTCTCCACTAACTAATTAGTCATCCCTCCAACCGTTAAGATTGAGTCCTAGAACGTGAAGATCTTGTCATTAGATCAAAAGCTAGTTAGGGTGGTCCGTTTATTTTTTTGCGCACTGCACATACATCCGTGCCATTTTTATACTCCTGGAATTAAAACCATTGCATCTTATTGCGTGAGAGTAAATGTTGTCTGAACTAAACAAATGCCAAATAATTAATGTGATGAATTTTAAATGTGATCTTAGTACATTTAAATTATGAGGTAATAAGTAAAACTTCATTTTTTTTATCAGACTTTATTAGCAATAAATGTTTGTAAGTGTAATATAAAATTAAAATGAATTAAGTAATTTTTGAAGTCTAAAGTTAACTCTCTTGTTTCAAGGAATGTTAAATGTTTTGCTAAAAGAATAATTCTATAGTCTAGAATAAGCTAGATACCAAGTGAAAATAACTTGCCTACCAAGCTAACTATAACATGACCTGATAAAATTACTGATTTTGATCGTCACTCTGTTAAGTCAATATATCTTTGTTTCTTTGTTTTTTACATTGAAAGCAAGTAATCCC